TCTGCCTCCAACTGCCAAAAATAAAACATCTGGCTGGGGATTTACCTTAGTGGCACCATGCCTGCCTGGAAAGCACAGGGTCCTGAGTTCGATTCCTGGTACCAGAAAAACAAATAAACATATTGTACAGCTATGAAAAAAAAAAAGAGAGGGCTGGGAGTGTGGCCCTGTGGTAGAGCTCTGGCCCAGCATGCACAAGGCTCCGGGTTCTGTCTCCACCACTGCCAAAAATAAAACATCTGGCTGGGGATTTACCTTAGTGGCACCATGCCTGCCTGGAAAGCACAGGGTCCTGAGTTCGATTCCTGGTACCAGAAAAACAAATAAACATATTGTACAGCTATGAAAAAATATGAAAGAAGGGAAAGAAGGAAGGAAATAAAAAGAAAGGGGGAGGAAATGTTAGATGCTTTGATGCATTTTGGCTAAGGTTTATGTGAGAAAGACTCATACTTGAAGAAAAGGCCTTGGCCTCAGTCTAAAATATTATTGAACAGTAGATGAGTTAAAAGATACTTATTATATGTGTATCCCTGTTGTATCTCCTTTGAATGTAGATGAGCGACAGGCGTCCTACCGTGTCAGCTAAGTTTCTCACTGTGGCTTTGCTGAACCATGGCTTTCTATCGGACTGTCCATCCATGGTTTCTGGGGGTCCAATCATCGAAGGGGGTTCAAACTTAAAAATGCTCAATTTTCTTTCACAAGCTAAGCTTGGAGCCACACAAAGCAGGAATGACCTATAATTCCTACCACCTTCATCCATTCTAAGTGCCTTAGGTCATGCCTTAGCTACCAGATGAAGGGGAGAGTGGAAGGGATAGGTGAATTGTACGGAGACTGGATTTGTGAAGAAGTCACAGACAGGGCCAGTAAATGTTGTTGGCCCTCCGAGTCTAGGCTGAAAATAGGGGCATTCTCTGTCCTTCCTGGGCGTGCTCCAAGGAGCACTGTGTGTACGTGAGGACGATGTAAAGAGGACTCTGGCAACTTCACTGGACTGTGGTCAGGACTGGCCCGAGGGTTACCCAACCCTTGCTTTTTAATTAGATGAGCCAGTGTACTTCTCTGACTGTTTGGATTGTGTGTTCTGTGTTTCTCACCAAATACAAAGATGAGCCCTTTGTGTTGGGGCAAGCAGTCCCTCAGATATCCTCTATTGCTGGGGAGGCAATGTCTAAAAGTGGATTAAAACGAGCAACCGTGCCTGTCTCTCTTGGAGGAGTTTTTAGCAGTACAAATCATTGCCGCTTCCTCTCAGCGAGTGACCCAGGGTCTAAAGTTTTAACTCCCTCAGTGATCTCTTACTGCCCCTTGTAGGTCCGTGCCGTGGTCAGTGCCCAGCTGGACGTCCACTTAGCCTGCCTCTCTGGTTCTTCTAAAGTTTGCTGGGCCCAAAGGCCAGTGAGTGGATTACTGCAGGACACCCAGACCGTGAGCCAGACGGGCCCTTTAAAAGTGAGTATGGCCAGAGTGAAATAGTACTTTTAGTACCACAGCAGAACTTGTTAGAATGGCAAGGAGCGACCAGGGTGAATCTACTTGCTTTGAGCAAAGGTGTCTGGCAGATGAGTCCCTGGGTCCCACTGTGATACCATCCCTTGCCATGGCACCTTCACTCTCGAACGTAGTGAGTCATCTGCTAGTGCGGAAGACAGTAGCACTGGTCCTGTCCCGTTTGTCCGTGCTGCTCAGCCCTTCCTTGCTTTGCTCTGTCTCTCACAAAGGATGAACTGTGGCACATTTCCCAAGCTGAGGACAGTTTGGACAGAGAGGCAGGAGGGACAGAGAAGCCAGGGTATTTCTCCCACCCCCTTATCCTGCCCGGGGACATCTGATGTGACATCATACAAGCGAATGCCCCTCTGATGACCCTGGCCCCCGACTCTGACCCAGAGAAAGCAGAGGATTCTGGGACTCTTCGTCTCTGAATTGTCTCTGGCTTTGCTGTTGAGCCTTCCAGCTCTTCCTTCCTGGGCAACCAGCTTCCTGCACCAGGTCCCTCTGTGGTAAGGACTCAAATGGCTTCTCTTCTGAGAGGATCCTAATAGAAGTGGAAGTTGTACCAGAGCTTGAGGAGGATGAGTCCAAAACGTGGCACCATATGGCTTTCTGTAGTTGAAGTTGTTCTTTGTCTCCTGTCGAATAAGCACTCGCGTTAGTATTTTCCCCTTGCTTTCTCAGCATTTGTTTTATTTATGACTTTTGAAGTTACACTTCAGCTTATAAATGGACTTTCTTGTTTTCTAGTTATTACGTCTTGGCATAATACTTTCCAAACACTGTTTTATGATGTTCCACACTTAAAAAGCCACCTGGATATTCTCCTTTTCTAGTCTTTTTGTTAAACTATCTTTAAGCCCCCTTGCATGTTTTTGTAATGTGTAACGCAGACTCTGTTACGACAGAAAAGTTTCAAAAGACTTGTGCAGCTGGGAACTTTTTGATGATTTCATTTTATAAGTCCTTTGGAATGAACGTGGGCATTAAGAGGCACAATGAATACAGTATCAGTTTAACAAGATTTGAGTGGCCTTATTTTTACAGAGAAGTTAACATTTCTAGACACTGTGATTCCATCAGTGGTCTTCTCTATAATGTTTAAAAAATGGAATTTAGCAGACATATAAAATGGAAAAAAATAGAAAGGTTGTCATAAATCTTTTATACTGAAGTGTTTTTCAATTGCTTCAGAAGGAAACAAGATGAGAAAGTCCAGGTGCTATTTGTTAAAGTGCGGAGTTGATGTTTCAGCATCTCGAAGGGATATAATGAAAGAAAGCCATGAGCATAGGTCACGTGTTTGACAGGAACTCACCCGAGCAGTCAGGCCCGCCTGGCTCTCTGCGTGAAGCAGGAATGTGCAAGGCCCGCCAGAGCGCCAAGCAGCACGCAGCAGTGTGGCGGATCACCAGACCCCTCCTCTGTGGTGGCCCCGAGCCTGCCCTTGTCCTGGCCACCGACTCCTTCCTGGCGTCACACAGGGTGACCAGGGGCAGGGTCTGTGTGCTTTTGTGGCGGGCTTGCTGTGGTAACCGCGCTACCCACTTGGGCCACAACACTGGCCTCTGAGTGGAGACAGATACTTCACATAGCTTATCTCTTTGATTTAGCAGGGAAATTTGCACTTCACACTCTGAAAATTCATAAAGCTTGTTCAGTATATGAATGTAAATATTTTTGTATGTATATATGTGCATATATGTATAGGCTGTGTCTGAGAACTTTCAATATCGGAGCGATTTCTCTCACCTCTAAATAGCTGTGTATTATTCCTTCACATGGATGTTTCAAGCAGCAGCACATTAGTGGCTAGTTTAAATATTTCTAGTTTTTTGCTACCACAGACATCCTTGTAGTAAACATGCATTCCTTCAGTGAACTTTCTTAGCTATTTCTGTAGGAAAAATTTCTATTTCTACAGGACAATTTCAGGGTAAAAGGGTATGCACATTTTACACCTGGTGGCAATCTCTGCATCCTTGGAACATTATGGCAGTGTAACTCACAACAAGCATAATGCAAATTCTTATGAGTTCCTTTTAGTTTGTAGAAGTGTGTAGCTTGGTAATTTGGTAGCGTCAATATTAAAAAGACTACGGTTCTCGGCAATTAATTGCAGAATCCTTTTGTTTTCTGAGTTCCTTGGTGGAGGGCTCGGTAAGCAAGTTTATTTATTTTATTTTTTTTTCCTCATTGTTGGTAAGCAAGTGTAGAGACGGAGGCTATCTCACAGATAAACACCCCTGAATAATCCCAAGGAAGGGAGCCTGGCAGGGAGAGGTGTGGGACTGGGAAGGCCAAAGCCTGAGCAGTGCAACTCGAACCTGTGGAGATGCGGAGCGGAGGGGAGGGAAGCCTGGTTTCCTCACACTGCAGCACCGAGGGAAGTTGGGGAGATGTCACCTTCTCAGTGTGGCGCACCTCCACCCCCCACAAGTGTCAATAAACTCAGCATCGGTCAGTACTTATTTTTAAATAAATTCTTTTGCAGATGCTCAACAAAGAAGACAAGGGAGCATCGGGCATGGGCGTTAGTGTACATCAGTAGTGTGATTGTAATATATATATTAACTAGTATAACCACACTGTGTATCATTGGGGAAGTCAAGACAAAGGCAAAACTCCTGTGGTTATAACCACATAATATTATAATAACCGCTATTGTCATTTTAGTGGGTTACCGACCATCTCTCTTTTATGTGCATTCTTTTGTACCGGGGATCATTTTATGTGTATTTTTGTGATTTTTTTTCCCGGTATCAAGGTCAAACTCAGGATCTTGTGCTTGAGAGGCAGGCAGCGGCATCCGTAAGCTAAATCCCCAGCTTATGTGTATTTTTGACGTCATAGTTTCTATACAGTTTTGCACCTCACTTTGTAAAGTGGATATTAATGTGTATGTGTATAGTTATAAACAAAATTACGTGACGGAGAAGCAAGCTTTTTATATTCATATTTCACTTTTATTTGCAAGTTTTATTTTGCCCAGAAGTAATCATAGACATATGAATGTGGTGCATGTTTGAGATTCTATCCTCAGGGCTCAAAGTTCAGTGCACATGTGGTAGGGATGTTTGGAGAATAAAAATATGACAAAAATGTTTTTAGGGGCTGTTGATGTCACTTTCAGTTCTAAATACAGAAAATGATATCGATTGAAATATCTACTCCTTCAACTTTTGCAGATTTCAGCATTTTGTATTTTGGTTCTTGATCGCATTGAATTAATTTTTAATAAGTACTGAAAGCTAAAAACTCAATCTGATTATGCATATCAGCATGGAAGAGAAGAACTATACTTTCTCCCTAAGGTGATGTTTCCCCCAAATGTAGTTTCACTCTTGGAGTTTCATGACTGACGGAACTTTGTGTAAATTGATTTAAGTACACAGTTAAGTGTTTACTTACAGACTTAATGAAATATTTTAGCAAAGGTAAATCACGCAGTTAACTAGACACTTTGCCTACGGTTTGCCAAGTAATGTGGAGATCACGTTTAACAATTGGATTGTAAATACACAAGCGACTTAATAATATCCAGTATAGAAAATGAAGAGACTTTTAGAAAGAAAAGCATATTATTATGAAGATAATATATAAAAATAAGAAATAGTTGTGTAACCCATACATAATACTTAATATAACTTACACATTTCTTGTTATGAATTTTAGAGTCAACAATAGAGCTTAAATTTCCAGTTTTATGAAGACTGCAGCAGATTTTTAGGACTCTTTAAGAAACTTGAAGGGTCTACCAGGAATAGATATTCTTCTTTCTGTGGTAGTATCACTTCAGTATTTCAGAGTCCTGAGGTAAAAGTATAACCCTGAGCAAGCACTATCCACTTCTCTCTGACCCTGGTATTCTGTTGGAATTCTAGGGTCCCAACTTTCTACTTTTGATTTGATTTGGTTCCTATATTCGTATTATGGAAATCTGCTGCTGCTACTGATGTTCCCTTCTGGTTTTCCTTGGCTGACACCATGACCCCAAATCCAGAGAGTTTTAGAGCTTGCTGAGTCATTTATTTAGATAATTTTGACCCTGCTGCATCAGATTTTGAATTAGCTGATGACAACAATTTAACAGAAAAAACTAATGTCTGTCAGAATACACAAATCAAATATGGGTTTACCAAGAAACTTTACAAAGTTTATAGTGCTTGCCAGTCAGTTGTAATTGACTTGAAATAGTCACTTATGTCTTGGGTCATTTATTCTTTTAGGTCATTTCTGTATTGATCATCTTTTTCCTCCTTCTCCTCCTTCCTCTCCTTCCCCCTTTCCCTCTCCCCCTCTTTCCCCCTTCCCCTCCCCACTTCTTACCTTCTCCCTCTTTTTTTTTTTTCCTTCTTTGAAATAAGTCTCACCAAGTTGCTGAGTCACCACAGCTGGGCTTGGACTTAGGCTCTTCCTGCCTCACCTTCCACAGTATGGAGCTGCAGGTGTGTTCCAGTCTTACTCATTTTGAATGATGAAATGAATGTGAGTTTAAGAGATATAATGTAAAACTTCCATGATTTTAAATGATATGTTCTTGAAATAATAAATGAGAAAAATATTTGGTATCTAATGCAAATATTTAAATGCATGTTTGAAAGAGTTCAAAAGATTTTCAGTAAAATTAAAATTATTAAGACCTCATAATTTCCTTAACTTTTGGTTCAATTTTAAATCAAATGAGTTTATCTGTTTATTAGCAGTTGCTTGGGAAATTTCTAAGCAATGTAATTTCTAAATCTTAATTCATTAATGGTAAACGAAGTACACTTCTTAACAGATAGATTTGATTTTTAAACAAAGCCATATTCTTCTAAGTGCTTAAATGTCTTGGGCTTGTGCAGTCATTCATATTCCTGGGTGAAATGCAATGTGCACATAAAGGCTATGAAGTCAGAACCATTTTTAGATAGCCCCCGTGTTATCTCATTTTGTATAATATATATTCTACCCCTAAGGAAACCCTAGAGCAGAACAAAAATATTTTTATGGGCCAGGAATTTTGCTCAGAGGTGCCGCCTCCTGGCTTGCAAGTGCAAAGTCCTGAGTTTGATCCACAGTACCAAAAAAAAAAAAAAAAAAAAAAAAAAAAAAATTGTTATTTTAAAATTTATTCAATATGCAAAGTCAACCATTTCCTCTCACATTATAAAGAACTGTTTAAAAAAAACATGAGAAATTGTAGCTAATGTTTTGATAGTCAAAAGCCTTGCTCAACAACTTTCCAAAAAGTTCATAGCCCCAAAGATTTGACTGAGGAAGCCAGATATGATTTTTATCAGAAACAGAGATTTGACTAGTTATTTGAAATAATAAATGTGCTCCAAATAGTAAAATATGAATTAATAAAACTTCAAATTCCAACGATGTTGAAATCTCTTACAAAAATAGTTGTTAAATATAAATATAACTGCTCCAGATAAACGAAAATGATGGAAGCAAATGGTGTAGATTGGTTACATATTAAGGCCTTGACTTTTTAAAAATAAAAATATGTTTGAAAAGAAGTATACCTCTAATAAAACATTAAAATCTAAAATTATCTCCATAATTGTGACTTTTGGTGCATGAATCTCAAGCACTTGTTTTTAAAAGATTGATGAAACAGATTTTCACAATAAAATATATAATTACTATGAACCATTAGATTTTTTTTGCCTCAGCCCACATTTACATTTCAAGCATACATTTTATTAGGATAAAATAATACTCATTTACACTAGCTCATATATTTATTCTAAAAGTTATTCTTTTATGAAATGCTGAAAATAAAGACATTAAAAATTCTTAGGCTCAAAGTATTCCTGCAAATTCATAAGAAATGACATAGGAAAAATTGTAAAAATGAGCAAAGTAAATTAATAGTAATCTCACAGAAGATGAAAGCAAATGGCCAATAGATATAAGCAACATGGGCCAGACACATTAGTAGAGAGATGTTAGCAGATTAAAACAGCAACATTCTCATCAGATTAGCAAAAATGTAAAGATTGATAATATCCAATGCTTTCAAGGGCATAATTACATATTAGTGACCTATGTATGGGTAGCATCTATTAGGTTTAGATCTAGACTGTCCCCCAAGAGTCTCATGTGTTCAGAGGTGGAGCTTTCAGAAGGTGATTGGATCTGGGGGTTGCTAAGCTCATCGGTGGGTTGACCCATTCGTGAGTCCGTAGGTAAATGTGCCATTAGGAGGTGGAGCCTCAACAGAAGAGGCAGATCCCTGGGGGCGTGCATGTGAAGGGTGAGTCTCCCTCCCCAGCTTCCTCCTTCTCTCTGTGCCTCTGGAGGCCATGAGGTAAGCAGCCTTCCTCTGCCACACCTTTCCAACAGGATGTTTCTGCCTTGGAGCCTCCCAACCATGGACTGAATCCCCTGAATCAGGAGCCAAATTAAACCTGCCCTCCTTTAAGGTGGGAGTGTCTGGTACTGGGAAATGGAATGCTGACTGCTACAGCATCTTTTGCAAAGTCGTATGACCATTCTCTTTGACATCGCAGCCTTCCTTAATATACCCATAGTCAGCTCTGTATGTGTGTATGTGTCATATAAGAGGATAGTTGTGCATTTATGTAAAGCTGTATATATAAGTGCACCTTTGCAACAATATGTTTCTAATAGCAAACATTTTTAAACATTCTCTGAGCAATTGAATAATTAGATCAGTTACAATATATCCATATTATAGAATTATATGCAGTCATTAAAAACAATAGAGTGATTTACTTATAATGACAAACATTTCATGGTATATTGTCAAATGAAAAATTAGAGACCAAATATTTAAAATGATATCAATAGTCTAAAGTAATCTAAGATATGTAGTGTCCTAAAGTATCGATTGTATAAAAAATCCCAATCCTCTCTGAAAGAAGTTCACTTTTGTCTATTTTTTCAAATAATTTTCTTGAAATATAAATACTCAGCAGAAAGGATCAGGTTCCAACCAGAAAATTATCAAACAAACAAACAAAAAAACAAAAACAGGGAAACTAGCATGGATGAGAAACACCTGAAATGGAGACATTAGAAATCAACTCAAATACTTCAGATATTTTTATGAGACATAGATCATAAAATAATTATGTTTAACATGTTCAAATAAATGAAGAAAAAGTTTGAAGATCTGTAAAGGTTACTAAAGTACATAACATGATCAATCAAATTTGAACAAGTATCAAGTAGCACACCTAGAATTGAAAAATATAATGACTGAAAAGAGCAAACACTTATATGGGTGGGCATAGGTGGCAGTAGATTAGATGCAGCTAGAGAGGAAATTAGTGCTCTTAAAGACAAATGAATGTGAGGGTAACTGAGATACAAAATGCAGAAAAAGGTGGTTAAGAAAAATGATGGGTAGACTGGAAATGTGTGTAATTGAAGTTCCAGAGGAAAAGAGCAGAAAGAGGAGTGAAGGTAGTATTTGAGAATAGGATGGCTGATATTTTTAAAGATCTGATAAAAATTATCTTCCTCCAGATTGAATCCAGAACATACCGAAAATCAGATAGAGCAAATCCAAAAGAAAGCCCACAACTAGATAAATCACAGTGCAATTGGGCAGCAACGAAGATAAAAGAAGTTCTTTAAGGAGATATATTACCATGAAAGGCGACAAACTGACAATACGCGTCTCGACAGCAGCGACGGAAGCCAAGAGACTGTGGAGTGACATAGACAGTGTGCAAAGGGAAAAGTTATTTTCACTCTAAAGCTCCACGCTTCGGGAAAAAGGTATCTTTTCTGCATGAAGCCAGAATGATGACATTTTCAGGCCATCGGAAAAGAGGTGAGTTTGCTGGTAGCAGATCTTTGCCAAAGCAAAACCTATCTGTGCTAGAGATGGAAGAAAAAGGATCCCATATTAAAGGTCTGAGATCCCAGGAGAGGGGAGAAGGGAGAGAGACGACTTCTACTAACAACCAGGACAGAGTAACAAAATTGGCTTTAGGCTCCTGCCTGAAATATCACCACCATCACAGTAACATTTGGTAAGAGGTGAGGGCTTAAAAAGGGCAAATTAAATCTTTGGGGGTAGTGACACATTTCACCCCTTTGGCTGCAGCAATTGTTTCACATAGGTAAAAACTTACACTGTTCAATTTAAATATGCCTAGTTTATCATATGCCAGTTGTACCTCAAGAATTCTATTTTTAAAAGATACAGGGGGCCTGGGGTGTAGCTCAGCGGTAGTGTCTGCAGACTGGCAAGTGCGAGGTCCTGCGTTTGATCTCCAATACCTAAAACCAAAGCAAAACAAGACAAAAAGATGTGGCGAGCAGGGAAGTTGGTAAATAGAAGTAATATAATGACTGTGTAAGACAGCAATATTAACTAGTATCTCATGGAGTTATTAAATACATGACCACAAGGGCATATTCCGGAGGAGGATACAGTTCTGGGCTCAGCAATGAGTATTTGGACTAAGTTGGGACTTTGCTAAATTAATGACATTTGCATTTTTTGGTAAGCACTAAAGGGAGGGTGTCAGAATGTATAACTTCCAAATAGTAATGGGCAAATTGAGCTTGCAGAAAATAATGCTTTAGAGTAGAAGGAAGAGAGGAGTGGAGAGGAATCGGAAGAGATGGGACAGAGCACAAAATAAGATGACATGTACTGAACAGATTAGATGTCTTCATTAAATACGAACATTATCAGACTGGGTTTTTTTTTAACAATCATCTATATTGTGTTATAATAAATGTATCTATAAATTTTGAGAAAAGCTATAAATGAAAGATGAAAACATGTGTATGAGGAAACACCCCCCTGAAAAAGCTGGCATACACCTTTTAAACTCAGATAAAATATATTTTCAAGTAAAAATCATTAGTAGGGAAAACTAGTGACTGTATGATGAAAGGGTCCAATATCAGGAAAATATAACTAATTTATATTTCTATGTAGCTATGGAGATACCTTTAAAATATAAATGCAAAAGTATTCTGTACGATTAATTTTGGCCAGTGAGACATAAATAAAATTGTTGTGTGTCAGTTTTCCTTAACACACACACAGTGTGCTTTGCCCCCTTTTTTGGCGACTCCCTCCCTCCTGTTGGCTGTGGTGCAGCGTGGAGGGTGGAGCCCTGGGGCACGCGGGCCTCCTACAGTGCAAGGACCCCGGGCTCTCCGGGGTCACCAAAGGCTTCAGCTGTCCACTCCTGGGCATTGCGAGTTTTTAATTTCTCTCTTCTGGCCACTGTTCTTGGGGTTTGTGTTTTCACACCTGAAGCTAATCTTAGCTAATACAGAAGGCATTTACTGGAGCCAAGGAAGTGGACAGTTTTTCAAAAGAGGAGAAAAACTTCTCCTTCCTAATCCGAAGCGCGCCTGAGATATTATTATAACACTTAGGTAATCAACTAGCAGAAGAAAAAGTCGTCCCCTCAACCTCTTTATGCTATATTGCATATGTTTTATTCATCTGTGCTTCTGCCTTTCTTGTAGCTGATTAGGCTGTTAAGGAAGGAAGTAGAAGATTGTTCATTTAGACTTCCTTTTTTTTCTCATCTACCTCAAGCACTCAATATCCACAAAAACTGCCAGATGGTCCATTGGTACTGAACATCCTCTGTAGGAAATTTAATTGATTAAAGGGACTATCCCTCGGAGAATGCACACATTTTTGTTCCATAATATCTGATTACGATCTGTTTGTGTTCCTTAGAAACGAGTTTTGTTTCTGCTGCCCTTGTTGTTTTTTATGGTCCAGCGGTGAGACCCAGAGACGAATTGTTCAGGTGCGGACACTTTCCAGGTAGCGTAGGGGTGAGACAGTTAATCACTGAGAGAGTCAAAGGAAGAGTTTAGTATGGAAAACCAGGAGCCAGGGACCTTGCTAAACACTCTTCAGGAGGCCAACTCTGAGAGCTCGTCAGTTCTGGCACATTTGGATTGGAGAAAATTCATAACAGAGTGTGTTGGAGGGAATGACTGGGGACCTCAAGGGCCATGGGAATAGGGTAATCCATGAACTAAATCAGTGGTTTCCAAATTGGGTTATACACGAGCACTTTCCGAAGAGCATGTGGGTGTAACTAGCTTATAGGAATCAAATTCCATGCTCTAACTTTTAAAAATTTTATGTATCTAATTATGTTCCTGGTGCAGAACAACATCCTGGATTTCTTGTCCTTTCCCTTTTTATAATCATCTTTCTCCTACTTTATAAGACTTTAAGATATTAACAAATAATTTCACCATAAACCGTAGTTTACTTTCTAACAAATCATATTAAGTGGTAAAACTAATTTTGTTGCAAATAGTTCACCTATCACTTCATAATTTGAAGAGGCTAATGCTCTTGGCCTTTATCTCTTTATGGTATTACAAACTTGAAGTGAAAAATACCACTAATCACTCAAAGAATGCTCCCCTTCTCAAAATAAGAAATATCCTCCCTCAGACATGTTCGTGTTTGGTGCGGACGCATGATTTAGTAGGCATCTGGAAACCATCCCTTTATGATGTCTTCAGTGTTTCCTTTGGTGTTACGGGGAGACATCACCCGGATATTATTAATCCTCAGTTTGTTTTTCCAAAATATCAAGTCACACATTAAATCCTTTATTCTCCATGAGGATTTCTGGAGTAATCACTTCTTGGCTAGACTACATATTTTCTATATCAAATAACTTTTCCTACAGTCCAGCATATTTTGCTCTGAGTTAATACTTAAAAAAAAACAAAAAACAAAACTACAGCAAGTGCATCTTGACACAAAAACAGTCCAAAATTGTTTACGGTATTTTGTGTTTTTATTTAGATGAAAGAGAGAGCTAAAAATAAAACAGACTTTGATGTCAATAATTTATAAAAAATATTTAGACTTAACTACACAAAAGAGAGACCTACAATCATTTTAATTTTTGTATTCATCCTAGGGTTTTTTTTTTTTTTACTAGAGGGTGGAATATAATAATGTAAAGGTGACGAAGACCAAGCTAAGAATGCATCTGATGAGTGGTATGATGAAGAAGCCTGCTTTGGCAGTTGAATTATTAGTTCCAGTCATTTTCTCACTGTGTTGTCGTAGTGCTGTGCATCTACATCTCTACCACAGCTTCAAGGTGAGCAAACACTAGTTCCCCCCTATATTAATCAGCCTTCTGTTACTGTAATGAAATACCCAAGGTAACCAGGTTAAAAAGAGGGAAAGTTTATCTGGCCTCACAGTTTTGGAGGTCTCAGTCCACGGTGGTTGGCTCTGTTGCTTTGGATGTGTGGCGAGAGAGCACATCGGGGTGGTAGCATGTGGTAGAGGAAGCCCATTTGCTTCATTGCTGAAAATGAAAGAGAAAAGCAAAGAGATCAGAGTATCACAACCACCTTCGTGGATTTGTCCCCACTGATCTATAACCTCCCGCTTGGCCCTACCTTTTAAAGGTTCCGCTTCTCCCAACAGTGCCAAGCTGGGGACCAACCTTTTAATACCTGAGCCTTTGGATGACATTCGGGGTCCAAACTGTGACACCCACCCGTGACTTTGGGCTTGGTCACAGGACTTGAAGTGGTCAATGGAACGTCAGTGGATGTGATGCTCTCAGAGACTCGGGTGTCTGTGGAAGCGACCCACATGATGAGAATGTGCTGCGGGTAGCCATTGCCCAAACCCTGTGGTCCAGAAGGAGATGTGTTGGGCCAGATCATGTCCTGAAGCAGAGGACCAACACAGGCCAGCTGAACTGCAGTTGAAACCGTGAGTGACCTCCAGATGCTCAAGTGTGATTACAAAGACATGTAACCACAGAGGTGGGGATGGTATGTTATCTAACATTATCACAGCACTAGGACTGCCACAGGGACTGTATCTCCTCTCATAGTCTGTGCTCATCAGACTGAACTTATTTAAGCCTTTGTGATGATTGGATAACGGAGAGAAAAAAAACTCCTAAAAGTGCCTGTCTTGGTTACTCTGGAGAAGTTCATTTGCCTTTTTCTTAAAAGTCACAGTGATGAGCAGCAACCCTTACTGCTGTCTTTAGTATTGTTCAAACATTTCTGTATTTCTAAACAATGTGCTTAAGCTGCTATGTTTCATTTTTCTTTCTCAGTGATTCTAATTGACTCCTGACTGTGAAGGAAGAGAGTATACTCAGTGAGCATCACTCCTTTCCCCCTCTACCCACACACATCCCCTGTTCCGGGGCCTCTGTAATACTGCCCCTTGGTGTCCATAGTGGATCAGTTCCAGGACTCTCAATACCAAAATCTGAGGAGGCTCATGGCATAGACTTTTGCATAGAGCTGTACACATCTTCCCGTGTATTTTTAAAATCATTTCGAGATTACTTCCAATACCTCATAGATGTATGTTCTGTGTAAATCATTCTTATAATACATTGCTTAGGGAATAGTGACAGGAATAAAAGGCCTGTACATCTTTAGCAAAAATATAACTTTTTTTCAGATACTGTTGATTCATGGGTGAATCCATGAATTCACAAACACAGAGCACTAGCTTTGTTTGGAAAGATTCTTAAATGTGAGCACCAATACGTCTTTGCCTTCACGGCAGTGCTCTTAGGATTTCTGCCTGAACGTACAAGCTCATTGTCAGGGCAAGGAAGGTGTCCAAAGGAGCAGGGGGAACACACATCAGAGCATCTGCGGTTTTGGTACAGTATCCTCTGTGCCTGGTGACCTAGGTACAAACCTTTCTGTCGAGGATGTAGTAGGGGTCCAGACACCCTTGAATAAGCCATCTTCCTGTTTTCAGTCCACTCGTTCCCTGGCCTTCAGAGATACCTCCGAGTTCTGAGTCTTTCCAGGTTTGTGATGTATTAATGTTTTGTTTTTCTTGGCTTTGATTCCCTGAAACGATTTGGTTTCAGCTTTCATCCTTTCTCCTATGTCGCTTCAACTCTTTTGCTTTCTATCACTCACATTTTATTGACATATTTTGCCTATTTCAGCTTCCTCCCATTCTGTTGCTCCATTATCATTTTAATAGGTTGTGAGGATGTGCACAGTGCCCATATTTTACTGGAAATTTAGTGATGTAGCACGCAGGTTTAGAACACCACTGATTCATAGACCACGTTTTTAGTTCTAAAGGTATTCATTCATCAGGAAGGGGAGAGATCACGCCTTCCAAGGTTTTAATGGTACTAAAGCTCTTGACATATTTACCCTGTCTCAAAATTTCCCTTCCCACAATGACATTCTAGTCATTTGGATTATTTTTTTTTGTTCAAGTTTCCCAGTCAAAGGAGTAACCATAATAAATATAAGTGCTGCACAAAGATCAGAGAAAACACCTTTTCTCCATGAAGTTGCTTTAAACTGAAATCTTTAAGGCAATCTATAATTTTATCTTAGAATTAAAAATCATTTTTCATAATATGAAATGGCTTATCATAATTTGATATATGATCTAATTTAAATTTGTATGTGTAAATGCACTCATATGTTCCGTGCCTATTATTTGTTATAATGTATTTTTTTTTACTACAGAAACACAGGAGCGTTGTGATATGTATCAGTCAGCCTTTCTCTTACTGGGACAGAATACCTACATACATAGCTTGAAAGAAGAGAGCTTTACTTTGGCTCATGGTTTCAGAGACTTCCACCCATGGTCAGCTGGCTCCAAAGCAGAAACAGCATGGCAGAAAGGCAGAGGGGTACAAGACCCCCGACTCCATGGCAGTCAGGAAGTTGAGAGGGTTGGGATGAGACCTGTGCCCTCCAAAGCCCACCCCAGTGACAAACCTTCAACCAGTCCCACTTTCTAGTGGCCCATTCAGCAATGGACTCCAATGGATTAATTCACTGATGAGGTGAGTGCCTGCAGGATCTAATCACATATCTGTAATCTCTTAATCCTGTCAAGTGGACAGTTAAGTGTAGCTGTCACACATGTCCAAAGGGAATGTATAAAAATGTACAAATGTAAAAAAAGTGTAATCATTCTTTCTCCTGAATTCACTTTCTAAGTCGATGCCTATTATTGGTTTTCTGCATAACTATCTGCAAGTTAAACACACACCTGGGAAATAAGACATTAGAATTGTTTCTCTTGTAGTTCAAGATACAACATGCTGTGTTCTAGCTTCAGTGTGGGTGAGGGAGGTAACTGACTTTCCCATTAGAGCGCTAAAGGTGTGGCTGGGTCTCCAGGGAGGAGCTCTTTGGAGAAATCCATGCGCTAATCAACTTCCCTCTCCCTACTCTGCTGCTGTCCGCAGACTCTGGAGAGCAAAAGGGAGAAGAGGGACTTAGAGAGAATGTGTGTCCTCAGCGTTGTGCAGCGGTGGTGGGAAGGGCACCGCGCAAGTGCCTGACTCCCATGGAGGAGTCCAGCACAGACAGCACAGATGCCCCTGGAAGTCGTCGTTCAGTTTGCACCTCAGTTATTGGCGGAGTTCTCCTTAGAATCTAACAGTCATTTGTGTAAACCCCCGTACTTTGGAGGAAACTGAAAATATCCTCTGCAATTTTTTTTGGCAGAAGAATTTCAAGTAGCCAAACGCAAGAGCATTATTCAGTTCTCCTTCCTGCTGACTGGCCGCTGCCCTGTCCTGTAACCCATGGGCACATTGACCAACGTACCTGCATCTCCAGTGTTCTTGGTTTTGTTCTTCTTAAAGCCCTAAGATGCCTACAAAATGCCCTGCACCTTCCAAGGCTTTATTGATACAGTATTTGATTAAATTAAAATATAGAATTGTTGGAGACATAGCGTATTTAGGGTTTAAACTATAAAAATAGGCATTTATAGGCATTTTTCTGATCATGTCTGAAATTTGTGGTTTTTCACAGTTTTCAGGTGCTACAGGAACATTACCCCCATGAATTTCCGGGGTCCTCTGTATCTGTAGTACTGGGATTGACCTGGACTTCAAGAGTTTGCTGAGTCAGCTGGGTGTGAAGGCACACACCTGTAATCCTAGCACTTGGGAGGCTGAGGCAGGAGGATCACTGCAAATTCGAGTTCAAGAACAGCCTTGGCTCCATAGTGAGTTCCAGGGCAGTCTGAACTACTTAGTGAGACCCTGTCTCAAAAAAAAAAAAGATTTTGCTGAGACAGAAATGTGCCCTTGGCTGGCACTTGGACTGGCCTGGGATGTGTGCTTTGTGAGATGATCCAGACTACTGGTCATCTTCCCTGGTCAGACTGAAGTTGCTGTGATTGCTATTATTGCAAGCCACGCAAGACGAGATCAATGAAATTTCTGGGCTCTGGTTTCTAAGCATCTTCTTTCCTGGTCAGCACCCTCATTCTTATATAATCATGGTTAATTTGTGACATCACTGGCATAAAGACAGCCTCCACTGCCCACCTCTGGTTTATTGGCGTAAGAAGTACAAAAGAGCCAGGCTATAGTCACAGCTTCAAGTTCAACAGGATACTTAATCTTTTCCCCAGTGGGAGTAGTCTGTCCATGGTGACTAAGACCTCTCTCTACTCTGGTAGAAACTAAGGATGTAGGAATGACCAAGTTGTATAAGTAAGTCATCAAGAATTATGGTAAAAAGTTTCACTCCTTGTTTTACACACACATTAATTTTAGCTACTAAGGAAAATACTAGAAAGATGTGACACATTGTTATTTTTCACACATGTACCAAATCTTGGAGAGTGGAGATCCAATACTGAAAAATGCTTGACCATGGTTGACACCTTACCTGAGCCTTCAACGGGTCACTGAACAGTGCTATCAAGATGGCTGCCTCCGGGCAATATGGTAGGATTAGTGGCTGGCATAGTCATGAGCCTATTGCTGCCTCTCTGTTGTTCAAACTGAGTTTTTGCCTTGAGGTAATCTTTCTTTTGTGGGATGCCATGTTGATGGTGGCACTGGCAGAGGTACTGTGAGTAGGGAAAGCAAACCCGTATTTGGAATACCAATGCCTGTAAGAAGGACTGTCTTTGCCACTCTGAAATGGAAGGGGCCTACCATGATAGCCTTTTCGGTTTCCCCAGAAGCAGGGAGTCTTTGCTGTTAGACACTATTGGAAGACTAGGCATTAGGTAGATTACAGTCTGCAAGAGGACACTCATGTCATTGGATCCATACATAACCTCCCTCTCCGCCATCTTGTACATCTTTTCTTATAGTCAGTCATCCAGTCCCAACACGTTCAGTTCTCCAAAGTTGCTAGTTCCTACTGCTCACTGCTGTCCAAAAAGAGCAATGGAGCCATCTGAAGCTGCTTTTGCAGCATCAGTTTGGAGATGATGTCCTGTCAAGGCAGAGTGCCTTCCTCCGGGCTAAAGTGTATACCCTAAGCCAACAGCTATTATATGAGAATGTGGCTTCTAAAGGTAAATTACATGAGTTCTGGAGCCAAGAGATGAAGGTAGAAGTAGCCATACTTGTATTAGTCAGCTTTCCTTTATTGTAACAAGATGCCTAATATAATTTTTTAAAAGCAGGGCTTATTCTGGCTCATAGCTGTGAAGGCTTCAGTCCATGGTTGGTTGGTCTCATTGCTTTTAGGCTGTGGTGAGGCAGCACATCATGGTGAGGTGTGTGTGGTAAAGCAAAGGTGCTCACCTCATAACTAGGATGCAAAAGAGAGGAAGAGAAGGGGCTGGATCTCATCTCCCTTTAAAGGGCATGCTCCCAGTGATCTAGAACTTTCCACTAGGCCTTGCCTCTTTAAAGTTTTACTACTTTCCAGTAGTACCATCCTGGAAATCAAGTCTTTAATGTGTGAACTTTTGGAGGACGTTCCAGATCCAAACTATAAACTTACCTATCATTTGGAGGAACTCCTGTTCCTTGTCATCACAAATCTGGTCTCTGCGCTTTCTGAAATGCTTGACTTTTAAAGGAGGAATTTACTACCAAGTTGTGGTTGTTACTTAGTGACACTGGGCCCTTGATTGCAGCAGACTACCAGGCAGGTAAAGATTTCATGATCCTTAAGGAGAAACTGGCCTTGATTATCAGGAGAGGCCCTTAGGCGTGAGGCCATTACTCAGTGTGGTAAGGGAAGAAAATGTTTGGAATCTAGGATTCTGTGAATTGCTTGATGTCTCCTTGCCTGATTTGGGTGGGAAAGATACAAATACACCTGAGGAGGGCATGATTCCAGGGCTCAGGTCTCTCAGCAGGGACAGCCAACACATCCAACTTGGTAAGCCACCTGATAAGCAAAGGTGTTAGTGAAAGTTGAGAGGAATTTGGAAGGCTCAGAAGCGGAGGGAGTTGATGAGTGTCACTCATGACTGAGACCAGCTGCACAATTTATCTTGTAAATTTCCCCAGGAAGAGAATCCACTAGAGTCCTGGGGGAGCTGCTCCCAGATGCTGGTGGGTCTGAGCTGTGCAGAGTGGGCTGTAGTAAATGCCCGGAAGACCCAGATGCCTTGCCTCATCCTACTTCTCTGGGCTGAAGCTCCTCTGTCCTCAGCCTCTGGGGAGTGTCGGAGCACACCACTAAGAGCCTGATGGTCTGCCCTCTTCCTGGAGGCAGCCTGCATCCTATCATTACCTGTTGGTAATGATCAGTTGGCCCCTTTGCCTCCAGATCAGAACATTTTGTAATGTCATCCGTGGCTTCATGGGTATTTGTGACTGCTCTGCAGTTTGGCTTCTTTCTGTCTAATCTCATTGCCTTCATTCCCCTGATGGTGCTTACTACATTTTTCACTTGTTTTCCCCCAACTGTGAATCTGTGTGCTGAGGACCCTGAGACAAAGTGTCTTATGAATCGTCTCTTTGTTTCGACTCTGGCACTTCCACCATATGACCAGAATGGCATCTAACACCCCAGGTCAGATCATGTCACCCCTGCTTTTATTTGTTCTTGGAATAAAATCTAACCTGTTAGAACAGCAGTGGCATTAGATTCTCATAGGAGCACAAACGCTACCATGAACTGGACATGCCAGGGATCTAGGTTGTGGGCTCCTTATGAGAATCCAATGCTTGATTATCTGGTGTGGAGCTGAGATAGTGATGCTAGTCCTGGGAAGCAGCTGCAAATACAGTTTTACATTAGCAGAGAAGTTTGACTGCACAGAGACTTTAATAAACCATTTGACTGCAGACCCATATCAAAGCCCTATCAGTGAATGGCAAGTGACAATTGAGTTACATCTAATGGCAGGTTTTATAGTGGCAAGTGAGTTGATGTTCTTCAGTTGTGCAGTTACATCTGATGGTGGCATTTAAGGCAGAATTCAGCACTTATTTTAGTTCGTGTGCAGCCTGCCTGTTATTTTATTTACCATTCCCTTCTTACCTCTTTTCCACCTTGTGCACATGTCTCAGTCACAGTTTTGTTAAGCCCACAAGCCAACCTGACCACAGCTAGTAAAAAGTGAACATCTTTGGAAAGTTTCTTTAGAAAGGGATGAAAACCAGTGATGAGACAGCAGAAGACTAAGACCAGCAACCAAAGAGAAAGCTGCATTTATAAGAAAATACCAAAAGTGCTACTTAAATTATGAGTTCTTTCTGCGTTATGGTGAGTTGTATAACTATTTCATTTTATATGATAATAACAGAAATAAAATTCACAATAAAAGAGTGCCCTTGTATTATACCCAAACCACCCCACCTGTCCATGGGAAAAATGCCTTCCACAAAACTGGTCCATGGTATTAGGAGGGTCGGGGGTTGCTGGTTTAAGTCTGACGTGATGCAGTCCTGCCCAGCTGTCCATCCTTTTCTCATTTTTCTCCCTTGCACACTGTATTCTGAGGCAAGGGGCTCTTGAATAACAAAGCGGTCTTTTTGAGGGGCCAGGCTCAAACTCGGTAACTCAGTTCCACGAATGTCTGACACATGTTGGTGTCCAAAGGCTTTCATTGAAGACATTAGCAAGTAGGATGGTCAAATCTAAGTAGAAGGAGCTATTTCATTTCCAGACCATTGGCCTTGGTCTGTAGTGTATTGCTGAGTGACATCTTAGGACACAGGGAGCCATTTAAGACTGGGCTTCCTTGATTGTCCTTATCTCTGGTAGATTTGATCTTTAGGATTTCATAAGACTTTATGCAGTTGTTTCCATCAGAATTCCTATGGATAGTCCCTGAAAAATTCCACTGAAAGATCCTGCCCTAGAATGGGACTGAAGCCTGTTACTGTATAAGTGACTACTTCCTCACAGTCCCCTGAGGTGTCATGTGTCTTCTCTGATTGAGTTTCTGGACCCTGAAACCAGCCTTGCCTGCCCCCTCTCCCTGGCTGTGGCCTGTAAGTCTCTGGTGGCTGCCTCGCTACCTGGCTCCAACTCCCACATGCATGAATTGGGCCCTTGACACCTGCTGAACTCTGTGCATAGAAGCTGCATATTGAGTTATGGCCCTGTCAAAACTCTTATGTTGAAGTCCTGACCCTCAGGACCTCAGTGTACAACCTTATTCGAAGTAGGTCTCTACAGAAGTGGTCAGGTTAAAATGAAGTTACTAGAGTGAATCCCAATCCATTAGGACTGGTGTCCTAATAAAAGAGGAACAGGCACTCAGGTGAACACGACGGCAGCTATCTCTGTGGGCCAAGAAGAGCCTGGTGTGGAACCTCCCTCAGCCCTCAGAAGGGATCTGAGAAGATCTACTTCTGGTGCTTATGCAGCCCAGGATGTGGCACCTTGGAAGACAGTCCTACAAACTCCAACACAGAGCACGCACCCGGATTCTCATCTGCACCCGAGGAAGTGGCTTACCCAAGCTAGGATAGTTTTTCAGGAGCATTTTAGCTGATGTAAATTCACAAAGGAGAGCCAAAAGCTTCCAAGTTCCTCCCAGGGGCCTCTGAAAGACTTCTTCTAAGGTCCCACCGGACACAGCTGGGTCCTGTACCCGTGACCTAGATACGGCGGTGCTGGGAAAGACCTCAGCCCCAGCACTCTCCTTGTGCTCTCGACGTGCAAGGCCGTTTTCTGGGAATAGGGCCATTTACAGCCCTCACGCTGGCTGGCTCTAGCAACTGTGTCCAAGAAAACGTGGTCCTCGCCTTTCCAGCGCCCGGTTCAACAGGTGTCAGAACCAGCCAAGGTCCACGAGGTGATTCGTCAGTGTTGTTCCCGCTGAGCGCCAGTCGCCCTTCTAAATCTTCGGGCTGAAGCCTTCCAGGGGTCTGATGTGTTCTGGCGCCTACTTTAGAGAGGTGGGAGACAGGCGGCAGGAGTTCCGCTCCGTCCTCCCGGAGGTGCGGGGAGCAGGAAGTCTAGACTTCTCTGCAGGTGGAAGTTCCTCTCGGTAAAATCATTCCATTCCCAACAGCTCTTATCCTTCCAAAAAGACAAGGACAGGACCCAAATAAAGTCAGGCAAAGCCCAAGTATCTTTACCTCCTCCGTCTAGCGTCTGCAGAGAGGCTCTGCTGAGCTAGGGCAGTATAACGCCTCAGGCAACCCTCCTTCCTTCCGCACAGGGAAAGAATGCTTTCTTTGTTCCACCTTACATCACCCCGCTAAAATTGTGTGCAGTTCCTCCCCCGCCTCCCCGGCCTCAGTATCCCCTTTTTCCACGCTCTCGCAGCCCCGCTCCCCGCACATCCGTTTGGCCGGATGTCTAATGTGGGGTTGAGGCGAACTGCAAGGACAGCGACCGCAGTCCTAGTAGGTGGGAGAAACGTTCTCGTCTCAGCCCGGTTTCCTGAACTAGACCGCCGGAGGGCATGTCTGCTTTTCCAGAGGGCGTCGGTGGTGTACGGATGAGATATGATTCCCTCTGATTCCCTAAGCGGGCAGCCGTATGCTAATTGGTGAGGGTTCTGCGAGTGTAAGCAGAACACACGGTGTGCCGGTTTCCAAGGGTGTTTTCCTGTTAGCGTCCTGTTCCGTGTTAAGCTGCTCAAAGGCCCTGGGCTGTCCCCGAGTTTAGAGAAAGCAAACATCTCCCAGGGCCGGGGGGTGGGGACGACGCTGGGTCCCTAGGGAGGAGGTGACTTTCCAGCGGGGCGCGCACGTCGCCGCCCCAGATCCCGCTCGGTGGTTGGGTCAGGGACCTCGGGAGCGGGACCGAATCTGCGGGCTGCGCGGCGTCCTAGCAACGGGA